AACATTAGATTTTGGTCACTATGACCTGAATAAGATAATGTCGTAACACAAAAAAGGTTTCACTAAGAGGGGAGAAGAGAAGAAATCTGACTATTGGGTTGGGTTGGCTTTGAATCGGTTCAAGACTAGGTGGAACCAGTTCCAAACCGATAATAATTGAGACAATATACTCAGAACTAGAGTCAACTCATCAGTTCTGATTCCTAGAACCATAACCAACCTAATTAGTTAATGAACATTGGGTTCGTTAGGTCAAACCTGACCCATTGAATGTCGTATTTCTATGTAATATAAAATAACATATATATTATCTATAATATACATATAGTTAAATATATGTGGGTCAAGTTCAACATGCCAAGAGTTATAATAAGCGACCGAGGCACTCATTTTTTCAACTGGGTGGTAGAGGCTTTATTCAAGAAATACAACATCACCCATCGGGCTTCCACTGCATACCACCCCCAAACAAGTGGACAAGCTGAGGTATCCAACAGGGAGATCAAGTCCATACTTGAGAAAATGGTTAATCCAAAAAGTAAGGATTGGAGTTTGAGACTCGATGATGCACTATGGGCTTATCGCACAACTTACAAAACTCCTATAGGTATGTCCCCTTGTCGCCTAATATTTGGTAAGCCATGTCATCTCCCTGTTGAATTGGACCATAAAGCATACTGGGCAGTAAAGCAATGCAACATGCGCATGGATGAAGCGGGAAAACAAAGAAAGTTGCAGCTACAAGAGCTTGAAGAGATCCGCAATGATGCTTATGAGAGCTCCCAAATTTATAAGGAAAAGGCAAGAGTCTTTCATGACAGAATGATTTCAAGGAAAGATTTCTTAGTTGGTCAGAAGGTCCTCCTCTTCCATTCTAGACTTAAACATTTCCTTGGTAAGTTGCGATCTCGATGGGCTGGACCTTTCATCGTCACTAATATCCTACCTCATGGAGCAGTTGAAATTCAAAGTCCAACCACAACCAAGAAGTTCAAGGTAAATGGTCACCGCTTAAAACCCTTCTATGAAGGATTTCAAGTGTACGATGTGGAAGAGGTAGCTCTTGAAAGCCCAAAATATGCAAAATGATGCATGACCCCCTCACCCACCTTTTGCTGCAACAAAGTTCAGGGAAGTTCCCCTTATCTCTATATTGCTAAATTGCTATTTCTTTCTAACAATACTTGGATTAAGTGTGGGGGGGAGTATAGGATCTGATAAGTAGTATTTTTTTATTTTAGTTCAAAAAAAAAAAAAAAAACTCAACTCTTTTGAATTCAATTGAAACAATATTCTAGGAAAATTCTTGTGAACTTAGTAATGATGTACAATTAAGAAGTACACGACCTATCTGAAACCATTTCCTGTTAAGCTAGTCCTAAATTCAGGTTTAAGTAAATAGGGTGAATATTTTTGGTAGGATGGAGCATAAAATGCACCTACCAGCCAAGTAATTCAATAGTAGGATGGAGCATAAAATGCACTTACTAGCCAGCAATTCAAACAGTAGGATGGAGCATAAAATGCACCTACTGACCAAATAATCCTAAAAATGAGATGGAGCATAAAATGCACTCACTTCCACCAAGAAGAGAAAAAGAAAATAAAAGAGAGAGGAAATAAAAATGTTTTCCCTAGTTTATTACCTGGTTTGTAGTAGCAAAAATTGGATTGGTTGATGGATGAGTCATGTATAACTTGGTTGTATTGACTTAGCAGTTCGCAATAACCGACCTAGGATATTTGTGGAAAAAAGATGAAGGAAGATTGAGTTTAAAGTCTGGTAGAATAGTTTGCTTATCTTGCTTGAATTTTGTCTTGCCTGAGGACAGGCAAGGTCTAAGTGTGGGGGGATTTGATGAGAATGAAAATTATCATATTTTTATCCCTTAATATTCAATCTTTTATACTCATTTAGTGCCTAATTGGACTCACTATTCTTGTATTTCGATTTAGGGCATGAAAGGAGGCGTTAGGTGAAAAACAAGGCTAATCGGGTAATTTTGCACAGTTTCGGCGTTGCGTGGTAATTTTGGCATAACTCTCCCATCCAGACTCCAATTGAGATGATTCAAGATGCATTAGAAAGATAAAAACTTTACAAATTTCATGTTTTGAGTTTTGATAGATTCGGACTGCATCGAAGTCAAAATCGGGCCCGAAGTCTAAGAAAACTCGCAGAGAAGCCCCAGTTCGCTGGAGAAGACCAACCCAATTCAGCATGCAGTAGCAGGGCCCACTCATCATTCCTAATAGAATTCGACTAAGAGTCTTAATCAGATCTGATTTTTATTGTAATCTTAAAGAAAGAAAAGAGTTAGAGTCCAACTTAGTTAAGAGTTTCTATTTAGAGATAATGATAAGATTAGATCTGAATTAGGAAATAGGACTTTCTATTTTTGAGAAAGAGAACTCCTAAGAAGAGCTGAAAACTGCTCCCTCCTAAGGCTATATAAAGGGGGGCCGACTAGCACCCAGGCATCATCAAATCTTGGAAACAAGAATTCAGCAAGAAGGGAGAAAAGAAGCAGAATACGCCCCCCATCATCTGGAAGCTATAATTTCTACATGAAGTGTGTGTAAGCTTTTGATTTCTGGTTGAAAGGTTAGGGAAGCTTTGATTCTTAAACATTGTGAGATCTAATTGATTTTTATTTTAGTTCATTGCTTATGGGTATTGATATGTTTTCTCCGATTTCCTGTGAGGATTATTTTTATTGACTAAGCAAGAAGGATCCCTTGCTCATTCAATGAGAATAATCTATGGCCGATTGAACTTCCAATTTCGTATATGATTGGTAGGTCTAATCATGGTGACAACTAACATAAATTGATTATGGACAAGTTTTCAATTTATGTTAGGAGGATATATGATCTGGTTTAAACGGTCCGAGCTTGTGAGATCGTTGACTAGAATTGGGTCTCTCCCCTCTTAATGCTATTAATAGATTAAATCCTAAGAGCCTGTTTAGGACTGTCTATTAATAAGAGAAGCAATCAAAGAGCTTGTTTCAGTTGCCGAGAAATACGAGTAGAGGCTGGCTGTTAGAGTTTGTTAATGGCTATAACCAATTTATTCATAAACATATGAATTTATCCTTGCATCGATGATCAATGATAAGAATCAAGGTTGAACTTGTCCCTTCAACCAGAAGCTATCTCCCATCGATTTGATCCTTGCTTTATTTTATTTTATTTATTTTCCTTGCTTTTATAACAACCCCCCTATTTTATTTTCTCTTGGATATAAATCCACCCAATCTTTGTGGAGATGACCTTGCTCATCACTATCTACAAAAATATTTAATTTGAGCAAAACATTTATCTTTGGTAGGATTCGACACCCACCACTCCTAGTTGCTCTTCATTCTCTCCTCCTAGTTCTTTTTTATCCTTAGCAGCTAGATGGTCCATGAGAAAGAAGTCACTTCAAATTTCTAAAAGTTGTTTAGGAAAATTCTCTCAACCCCCTCAGATTCTTGAATTCCTACTCTCTACATTGCTAAACCATCTTCGCGCTCTATCAATATGAACATTGAGGACAATGTTTATGACATGTGTGGGGGAGGCTATAGTTATGCACCCGTATACATAAATGCATTGATAGGCCGCATAAACTGGTAAGCTCCTCGAAATTAATTGTTGTCTATAAAGTGAATTCACAAGAGAGAATATGATGAAGTTTGAGGAAAATTACTTGTAAGTGTTATAATTTGTTTCTATGACTTATTCAATTTTATCACAATATATGAGGATTAGGAAGTCGAATAGGATTTTCATCATGGCCAACACTAATTCTATTCATGTGTATAGTTGTACTTGATTGAAGTTTTAATGAACACTCGAGCATTTGGTGAACATCATGAACTGTTAATGCATGAATAAATTTTGATAGTTGAGGAAAAGAGGACAATAAGGAAGCAAAAATTGTCCTTGGACAAAGTTCGAACTACTCCGCTGTCATGAATTGAATAGTAAAACTAGCGGTTCATGATATGAGTTCAGTCCCAACTCCGCTATTTCAAGTTGAATAGTAAAACTAGCAACTCAGAATATGAGTAATGTCTATCTGCCTCTAGCTGTGACCTTTGTGAGATGGAGCATAAAATGCACTCACATTCAAAATATATATTCTTTCGGTGACGGCTGAGGTTCAAGAGGGAAAAATTATAGTTGGATATTCAATTTAGTGCATTGACAGGAGTTAAGATCAAGCTCAAGGTGATGGTTAGTCAGGGCGGTCAAGGAGCTACTATATACTAAATGGAATTGAGTGCTGGAGCATGAAGAATCTCATGTTCTTCCCGTCCTTCGTTTTTGTGTATGTGGTAAGAGTGGTTTGTCAAGGGGATGAATTAGAATACTTATGTATGATTTCCGATCACTTAACGCATTCTCATCCTAGAATTCATATGATAGATAGGAGTAATTTGGGGGAATGGGCAGTTTATGATCATTATCTTTGCTTGAGGACAAGCAAAAGGTTAAGTGTGGGGGTATTTGATGTGTGTGCATGCTATACATTGTTTTTATTGTCTCATACATGGTTTTTATGATAAATCTTAATGGTTCTTGCCCTAATTGAGCTGAATTTCAGGAAAACAAGAGTTTAGAACAGTTTGGGGTTAATAGAGCATGAAGACATAGTGATATTGCTACAAAGGAGCACTTCGGCCTAGGAGAATAAAGGCACAGCTGCAGCTTATTGAGAGGCTCCAGGAGGCAGCTGATTTTAGCAGAGTTCGAAGGGGAGTAGGACTCTAAAGCTGCAAGAAAGAGTATAAAAAAAAACGAGAAAGAAGAAATTAGGGTTCAATTTCTTGTTACAGGAACAAAGGAAGAAGTGCTGTGAGAAAGATCACAAGGCTGCCGAAGGAGAATTGGAGAGGAGATCGAGAATTCATGCAGAAGTTTTAGGTTGTCTTCTTCTTTAATTCAGCGATTTCGGTAACCTAGGTTCAACTAGGGTTTTCTTTTGTTTGAATCTTTCATTCTTTCTACCATGCGAACCATGATTGATGTTATTCCAGATCTGTGATTGATCTTTTAAGCTAATCCGATTGATAGTTATTCAGTATTGGGATTTCTTGATTAGGGTTTTCAATAGTAAGAGTAAATTCGACCGATCTGCTCTTGTTTCTTGGACTACCTATATTGCTTGAGAAAGGGTTTAGGTAATCAGACCAACTGATCAAGAAAACGAATTGAATGTATCTTAGAGATAATTTACATGATTCGTTTGGCATTCATTCAGCAAGAACTGATATCATTCGATTTCCTTGTCCTTAATGCATCTACAGTAATTAAATTCTTGATAGAGATATAAGGGTTGTTACTCGTAGATAGATTGGCATGTGCTTGAAAGAGGTTGTTCATAACAAGAAGAAAATCACCAACCCATAACTGAAATCAACTTCGGTTGGATAGTTTAATGAGATAACCACTGAATTGATTTTGCAATCATTTTCGTGAATTGCTTTCTCTATTTGATTCGGGTGGTTTAATTCGATAATACCTAAAATAGTTAGCTAATTATGAAGTAATTCATTGATTTTTCGGATTATTAGATAACATGAGGCAGATTTAGGACTAGTAGTTATTGGATTAATCCTCGTGGGAACGATACTTTACTCATAAGTATATTACTTGATCGGCTAGTGCACTTGCTAAGTGTAGTTCTAAATGCATTAATGGTCCATTCCAGTTCCATTCTCTATTCCAGAGGGAATCAATCATTACCTTGTATTAAACTAAGATAATCTAAGGGGTCTGATGAGAGAGGTTCGCTCGGAGATTTGTCAGAATTAACGGGGGAGAAGGAGAATGTTTGATTCAAGTGGTTTCCAATAACCCTCCACAGAAATGGCCGCTTACCCACTAGGAATAGAATAACTTGCTACAGTAGCTGAATCCGGAAACTGCGTTGGGGGTGGTGTGGGTGGTTCTTGGTAGACCTGTTCATGGGCCAGGTGGCCCGACGGGCTGGCCCGGCCCGGCCCGACCCCCGGACGGGCTTGAACAGGCTTTTTGGCCCACGGGCTTAACCTCGGGCCAAAAAGCCCAGCCCGCATAAAATTCGAGTCGGGCTA